TTAAAACCAGATTTCTTCATCAATATTTCTTGATCTTTCATAGTCATATTCTTAACCAACATCTTTGTTTTTTGTCTATTTATCTTAAATCCAGCAAGTGCACCAAAATCTTTCAATTTCTTCATTAAATATTCAATTCCATGCTGAGTTTCCTGTAAAATCAAAACTAAATCATCTGCAAAGGCTCTTAATTTAAAGACTTCTTTTTTGATTTGTAAACCCTTAATCTAAATATACATTTTCCAACATTTTTTTCTCTCATACTCAGTTTTGCAGCATTCTTTTATATGTATCTTTTTCCTCATCCACATACTCACTGGGTATGAACCATTCCATCAAGTATCTTTTTTTTTTCAATTTTCGTTAGTGTAATTCCACACACTTCTACGACAATCTGCAACATAGGTAATTGTTTCCATTTAATTCCAAGCAGCTTTCATGTCCTCTTTTCTTATGACCACTTTCTATTTTTCTCTTGGGAAATATATCTATCTTCACATACTTTCTCAAAAAGGACTCATTCTTTTTCTTCCAACAATCATTCTATTTTTATTATAACTCCTTTCACTTTTTGCCTTTTCTTCCATGTCCATTTTTTCTCAAGATCCAGGTTTGACTCTCCTAATTAATGGCCTATCTCATATTTTAAACCTCTTGTCACTCTTGTATATTTCACTAGTCCTCATGTTTTCAGTTTTTTGTTCATTCCTTTGCCATGTATAAAGAGACCTTTTTCTAAACAGATATTTGCCAAACAGTCATCATTCTTACTCATTCCTGGGTCTCTGAATGGCCTAATCACTTTTTCTGTACTGATTCATCTTGTTCCCACACATCCATTTGTGTCACCTAACAGGATTCCCCCACCTTGCAAGCCAACCAACCAACTGTTGCTCACATCCACCAACTCAGGAGTACATGTAGCATACTGACACAGATTCCAGTACATAGCTCACTGGGAGTTCAGCATACCTGGAGCTCACCAGGTGGGAAGAGTGGATATTACCAATTCTTTGTAAAGAAAGAATAATGGAGAGAATTAGTATTAGACATTCCAACTTTTTAAAAAACACACTAAATAAGATGTGGCCTAAATAGAGTTCTAAGAGGAAAAAAATAGGGCTCAAAAATGTCTGGAATGGCCTATAACGTCTGAGCCAGAGCAAATATTACATCCATGTAGCTCTGAATTCTTTGGTTAGGTCACACTGTTTTCAAAAGAATTTCAGTGATTTTTTATTTGTGTTTCTGACTTGCTTCGATTTTTTAATCAAAGGCCCAATGAAGAAAAACAAACGACTCATCAGTTACAGGGAACAGAAGCTCTTAAAGATCTAAGGCTAAAAGACCAATGCCCTCTGCATTTTAAGTCTCAGACCCTTGTCCTATTAGGTCAGATGTCTTGTTGTTAAGGAAAGTAAAATGGGGCTTATTAAAATCCCTTTATATACCTTCATGTTAGGTGGGATGACAAGTTAAAGGCTGTGTAGGGGAATGGGAAGGGATCCAACAGACTTTGCAAACAACTTGCACAACATTTTGCTTTGCACAGAGCTTTTATTGTAAAGGACAAGAGTTCTGCTTTCAATAATTCTGCTGCTAATAATGCCCTGTTGAATCCTGAGATAGATAGCACTGAAGTACTATAGAACTGTGTTTGACACAGAAAGTTTTTTTTTAAAAAATAGTTCTTGGAATGGTGCTATGTAGCCTGTATTGTATATCAGACTAGCTGGGAAATATGTACCACCAATATATGTAACTAACTAGCCATCATAGTTGTTATATGGCAAAATACAAATATTCAGAAATGTGCAGGGTGGTGGTATAATATTCACTGAAAACTTGGATTTGTTTTATTCCTCTATCACTATTTTGTTTTGTTTTTAAAGACAGTCTTGATTAAATATGTGGTTAAATAAGTAAATTAATAAGGGGCATTTTGCTAACTACAAAGCAATGGAACTTTCATCTAACTTCAGCGTTTGGCCATGAACAAGAATTGTGCTCTGGGTCGAAGAGGGATCTGGCTTTGAAGTGTTTTTAGGGTTTTATTCCATGGTGTCCATCCAGCCAACTGCACTGGGAAATTATCCTTCTACTGCTTGCAGCTTAATCAGGATCAGCCAGATTTGAGGAAGTTCATCTGGTGCCTGTTCAATAGCTAAAGCTGTTTTATAAGGCAGTACGGTCTGCATGAGACATCTTGGAGACTGATAGCCTGGTTTCTGGAAAAACTCCTAGTATGCTTATATGCAGACCATGTTCATATTGGGAATAAGCTCCATTGGCAACTGTAAGACAACATTAAGTTTTTAAATAGAAATGCACACCATACTGAAAATTCAAATTACTAGATTTAAATAGGGGTGCTACCAAAGAAAAAGAAAGTAGTTTCCAGCCTAGTAGTAGTGATGAGGGGACTTTACTTACCCTGACATCTGTTGGGAGAGCAACTGTGTTAAGCATGGTACTGCCAGAAAATTCCTGCCTTGTCTTCATGATAACTTTCTCCTCCCTAGGGTGGAGGAAAGCACAAGAGAACCAATTTTATATTTCATAACTCAGTGAGGCTCCAGCAGGGAATAAACAGAACAGCTACAAATCAACTGGGCTTACTGTAATCCCTGATTATAAAGCCATACATCAGTTCTCAGCCTTTTGTCAAAATTGCAAGGGGCCAGTCAGACCAGACTAGCTCATTAAAGTCTGTCCTTGAGCCAGTAGAAATTTTGTTGCCCTGATTGGCAAACCCTACTTTGCCATAATAACAAGGCCAGCAACTGGTGCTGCCCTTGTTTTAATGCAGGACAAGTTAAGGAAAGTGATTGGTGGAGTCCCCTGGCTTCATTTCCCTTATCACCAGATGTTGCTTGCTGATGGAGAAACAACCATCAGTAACTTCCCTTAACATGAGATAGGCATGGTCAGGTGAGTCCAGGCAGTTGGTTGGTATGACATCTGTGATTCCTACTAAGTTGCCAGACTTCATATAAATTAAATATACAATAATAAGTATACATTAATGAAACGATTCTGCATACCTGTAAGCCAGTGTTTCTCAACCTTAGCAACTTTAAGATAGGTGGACTTCAACTCCCAGAATTCTGGGAGTTCTCGGAGTAGAAGTCCACCTATCTTAAAGTTGCCAAGGTTAAGAAACACTACTGTAAGCTGTTGGCCAGTTTATTTTGGACTCAGAGATGGCCATGGGATGAAGCAGAAGGGAGCTATAGATAATCGGCACGTTCTGTCTTCAACTAGTGCTTCTATGGAATGCAGTGCTGGCCGCAGATCCAGTTCTGCCCTTGTGGGCAGCAGCAACCAGAAGTAGCCAGTGCATGACCATCAAACCAGAAGGGGATAGGCAGAATGGTGCTGCCCCCCAGTCCAGGTAATCAGCACAGTAAAGAAGTATAGCCACATGAAACTCCATATTGGCAAAAGCAATGGAAAACTGGTTATGCACCAATGGTAACCGAATCACCAACACACAAAGTTAGCTGGCAGAACCTAACTTGCCTTCCCAACTGAAGTTGAACAGAACTCCTTCTCTGTGGAACAGAGCTAGCCCTCCCTTTCAAGATAGTAGTAAACTGTGTACATAAAAAGCTTACGTAAGATCTGACAAATGCTTCAGAAAGCGCAAGTCAGATGCTATGCACGAGATACACAAGTTTGAAGTAAGACTTTGCCAAAGTTGTTTCAGCAAAGAAACTGCCTTCTGAGGCAGCCTGAAACAGTTAAGTCTTCTGTACTTCCCACTCAATGTAGCTAAAGCTAGTCAGCCTAGTTTTGCTAGTTTTCTATCCTACAGTGCTTCAGTTCTCATCAGGCACCTTCCCCAACCATCTAATTTTTGGTACTCCATCTGCTGCTGGCTTTTTGATTATCTTCTGGCTTTCCACCTATAGCTGCCTGTGTTCTGATGGTTTGGGGGGTTGCCTCCAGTTCTAAGGTTCTCTGTATCAAGGTTTGGAATAATGGGGCCTACATCTTGTCTTTCACTGTTTATATTGAGGCATGATTCCTTGACATGAATTGCCGGGTTCATTAGTACTATCTTCCTCTGAGGAAGATGACATGCCTGGCTGGGCCCTGGTAGCATCCTCAACATGTTCCCAGCTGATACTGAAAATTAGTCAAGGAAATAGAAGTAGGAGACATATTGGGGGAAGGTAGCTATGGAGTGCTGAGTTCCTGATTTTAAGAGAAAGTAAGGCAGAGAGTAATTGAATGTGTATCTTTGAATTCATAAAAGTAAATGTTAATAAACTAAGAGCAATGATATATAGCATTCCATGGCAAGAAATCTTAAGAGGAAAAGAAGTTCACATTCAAGTTTAGGCTTCTTCAACAGAATGTCCAGATCATAGGAAGTACCATTCTACTTTATTTTGCACTGGTCAGACTTGACCTCAAGTACTGTGTCTAGTTCAGGGCACCATACTTTAAGAAGGATTTACAGAAACTGGAATAGATTTAGAAAAGCATGATGAGAATGATCAGGAGAATTAGAAACCATGTCCTGCAAAAAGAGATAGTCCTCTGTTTAATCTTGAGAAGAGAAGTCTTGGGGAGGTATGAAGCATTCTTCAAATACCTGGAAGGATGTCACATATAAAAAGGCCAAGAACTGTTTTCTCTTGTCAAGAGTGTCAAATATGGAATAATAGATTTAAGTGCAGAAGATTCAGCTGAATGTTAGAAAACAAAAAATCAAAGTAACCAGTGAGAGCAAGTTGACAATTCAACTATTACCAGAGAGGTGGTGGGTCCCCCTTCATGTGAAATATTAAAAGCAAATCTAGATAGCCAACTGTTATTGATTATTTTATTTTAAATTCCTGCACTGAGCAGAGGGCTGGACTCAATCACCTACATCAGCCTTTCCAACCTTTTTACCCTGGAGGAGCTGACAGCCTTATCAGGAAGACCAGACAGGAAACCTGACCAGATAAACTCATTCTACTTTATTGTAAAGCTACATTACATTATATTACATTACATTAGGTTACATTAACAGAATCTTGCACGTCTGAAAGTACAATTCTCCCGCCTTCATCTTTACAGCCCGAGAACTTAGAGAGTCCCTTCTGAGCCTCTTGCTCCTCCTACTATACATGCTGTCTCTTATGTGACCATTCCCTGGGCAGCATCACTTTCCCCCATCTCCCAAGGTCTTTCCCACATACCACTGCAGGAACTCTTGAAATAATTTTCAGGTCTCAGTGAAGCCCTGCATAAAAATCACAAACAATATGAGAACTTCACAATACAATTCACTTCTAACCTAAACAATCCACATTTTGCAGCATTTACAACAACAGTAAAGCAGCAGGCCGGCAGCTGAGTCACAGTGCATAAAAATTCCCACACTGTGAGCACTAGCATTGTGCAGCATGTGAAGTTCAAAAAATAATGTTTTTTTTTTTCCAATCACAATCTTTCACGCAACCATTAGTGACCTCTCCTGCACCCCTAGGGTTCCATGGAATCCCAGTTGAGAAAATCTGGTCTAAATGACCCATTTCTTATTCACTAACTTCTTCAACATCAACCTTCCCCTGATGTATAGGACTTCAGATCCCAGAATCCCAGCCAGCATGCCCAATGGCTGAAGGATTGTGGGAGTGAAATTCCATCATAGCAGGAGGGCTCCAGGTTATGACAGGCTGTTCTGTAACAGCAAAAAAAAGAAAAAAAGCACTCCCCCTTCCACTCTATGACTCCTTGCAAGATTAGTGTAAACAGTACAACTCACACTAAGAAGAAAAAAAGTACGCCTATCACTCCTTTGCTTACATCAAAATAAAAACTTATACTGCATTGGTGGCAGTATATACATATTTTCACTTGAGGAAAGTAAGACATAATAGATGAATAGCAACTCTTGCTTGGCAAGCATTCTAAGCAAACAAGCAAAAAAAATAAAAATAAAAATGCTTCCAGTCTGTTGTGCATTACAAATTGTTTAGATCTGTGAATCCTACGCACCTTTCCACGTCACCCTGGAAGATTTGAGACAGGAGGTAAAATCTGTCCTATTTTATAGGGTTCACAGAAAAGCAGACTGGTCCAGTATTTCATTTTGCATAGATAAGATCCTCGGCTTAAATCATTCATTTCTGGGAGATTTTAAATAACAGATTTTTTTTTCTTTCAAAGACTTTGATCAGTCTAACGACATAAGACAAATTCACATAAGAGGCAATTTATATCAATTGCTGATCGCAGACGAATACATCGAATCCTCTATAGCAGCGTTTCTCAACCTTGGCAGCTTTAAGATGTGTGGACGTCAACTCCCACGCTGGCTGGGGAATTCTGGAAGTTGACGTCCCCACAACTTAAAGCTGCCAAGGTTGAGAAATGCTGGTCTATAGGTTCAAATTAATACCATTCCCTTTAGCATATTGCAGATTATACAGTCCAAATACCAAAATAGTTTCTCCCACATTAAATGGCCAACATCTACTGCAATGAAAGAAAAAATAGAGAAGTTAAATATCAAAGTAGCCATAGATGAATATTTTAAGTATTTGAAAAGTAGAGTAATGTAGAAAAAGCATATATAACTCATTTCCTCAGACGAATATCTCAGATTATTTCTAATTTACGGTCCACATTATACCAGAGGTTTACCATATCTAGCATATGCTTGGGTTTTAAGTAATTCTGATGATATTTTCTGTGGTGTTGGTTTGCATTTGCCATGCCTAGTTACTCTACATCAACCCGTATTTCCTTTTCTACATTTCCATAATATATTATGGATATATTTCCATAACAGATCTCTTAGGTTATATTGGAAAAACCCACTCATTCTCTGGGATGTTAAAGGTGTATTTTATTTCCTCTTTCCTCCTGAATTGACTAATTCAGATAAATATGTTTTAGAACTGCATTATTGAAAACAAACAGGCTTCTGAAGCAGCACAGTTTGACGTAAACCAAGGAAGGGATCGACATATCAAATATGGAATAAAAAAGGAATACAATAAAATAAATGGCATTATATAAATAAATCAGAGCTGATGCTTGATCCATAAACTATTTAATGACACAGAGCAGGATATGCCTGCCTTCAAATCATCACAGCTGTCACAGTGATGCAAGGGCAATTGGCTTCAGTTCCCAGTTATTCATCTGGGAAGATCATGCTCAGTTCAGCTTCCATTGCAGAGCAAACAGCATATGGAGAGGGGCGGTTGTCAAGAATACAAGAGTGGGAGAAAAATTTAAACCCCTCTTCCTTTTGATATCAGGGCCTCTTGCTACTGGGATTTTGAAAATTCATTGTGATTATGGCTTTTATGTATCATCTAGCTTTGTCCCATTGAGAGTTACTATGTTTTGTGAATTACCTGTAGTTCTTTGAAATCAGTACCTGAGTAGAGAAAAAAAATGTATATTCATAGTGAAATACTTATCTAGATAATAAACAAGAGAAATAAAGGATCTATCCTATTTTGTGATAGCTTCAAGTTGTACCTAGGATTCTCTCTGGTACTACTGAC